ATTGAGCGTCACGCGTTTGGGCGAATTTTTAAAAATTGCAATGTGTTTGGGCAATTTAGCATAATGCGTTTGGGCGAGTGATTTTAAAACATTGTAATGCGTTTGGGCGACCATTTTTTTATTATTTATTTTTAATACCCTGGGATGCTGTATTTTATCAATCCATTTTCCCTCTCATTTTGACAGACTTGGGACTGTCCGTGAATTTCACGGGTATGATTAAAAATGGATTGTTTATTTATGTGTGTGCGCGTGTAATTAAAAATTTAATTGATTTAGATTTTTTAAAAATGAAGTTAAAATATAATTAAAATTGAAAAAATATATTTGTTTTTTGTTTATTAAATTTTTTTTCCTGGGAATTTTACTCCCATACGTTGAATATACTCTAAGATCTTAATTTCACCTGATATATACTTATCCCAGCATGTTTTTAAATATTCTTCTTTTTCTAATATGACTTTTCGTCGAATATTGTAAATATTTTTATTTAAAGCTTTGCATTTTGTGTTAGTTTCTACTTGAATTTGTTGTAACACATTAATTACTTGAAATACATTTGGATGCGATGAATAAAATTGGGAATTATAATGTGCATGGAATGATTCGGCTCCATTTGTTGTGTTTGGATCATTTCCCGGTTTTCTTGCCCATAAATAAGGAGGAAAAATAGCCTCCTCTGAAATATATGTATCAAGTATATAATCTGTAAATTCGATGATGTTTTGAGTTTTTGGAGCAATTGACATGAGTTCCATAAAACCATCGCCTACTTCATTGGATGGTAAATATGGTAATCCAAAAAAATGTTTAAGCCAAAAACCAAGTTCGGAATTGGTACCATATTCTCTTAACAATATTTTATTTTTTTGAATTTGTCTAAACCAACATTGCGCTAAATGAAACTGACAACACATCAATTGACAACCCGGAAATAAATTAATAACTGCGTTATGAGCTGCTTTTTCAAAATCTGAATGAAATTTTCGTACATTAATAATTTTACCTGTTAAAGCAAGACACAAATTTTTTATTTCTAACCACATAGAAATATATTGATTTTCAGATTTTGATGTCAAAAATGCATATACTACTGGTATGTAATAATTATTTTTGAAAATGTGTATTGTATATAATTGATAAAAATAATTAGGAGCGTAATTAAATGTTCCATCGCCAAAAACGTTTTCAGATTCACAAAGATGTTTTAAGTTTTCAGTACACGTAAACAAAACAATTTGTTTTTCTCGATTGACGAAACAAAATTGTTCATTATTAGTTTTAATATCGATTTGAGTTTCAAATAGTTGGTCGAACGCTTCATTAATATTTCTGGGAATTTTGGGAAAATGTTTTCTACGAATCCTATAATCCTATATGCCGATTCTCTCCACAATTTAAAGTCATTATGAACTATTACCTCCTTAAAAACGAGATTAGTGTCTTGAATTTCTTTACGTATTATTTTATTTGGTCTTGCATGTAAGTCTTCTTCGGCTTTCCTTTTGACGGCAGTTCTAACACACTGAACGGCTAAATTATGATCAGTAGTTGATTCGTGATTATGTGTATTATTATTTGAAAAAGCTAGTATTTTATCGATGGTAGAATTCACTAAAACACTCTCAGCACATTTTTTGTTAGTACACCGAAAACGAAAAGACCCGTTTTTCAAGTGGTTAGATTCACTAAAAGTATAATTTTCAATTGAAATGCATCGTTTATTTCGTTTTGTTTCGAAAATATAATCAATTTGAAGATCCATATTTTACATAAACGACAAATTTTACATAAACAGTAAACACTATACTAAAATTATTAAAACTTCACGTTTTCAATGTCCACAGCGAACTGATAGGTATTTGAAAATATGATAGAGTGATACTGCCATATTCAGGTTGATATAAAATTCCCTATATAATAATATTTTTATCTCATAATCATTACAATTTTATCTTTTATATTGTGTCGCACTGCACGTCAATCACTTGTTTGGTGACTATGTCGACTCACGGGCCACGACCTTCGCTCACTAATTATGTCCAATCTAAAGATAAATGATAAACAAAATACGAAAAATGATAATCCCGATCACAAAATTCAGGAATAAAAAAAATATATTGTCTCGCCCAAACACATTATAAGAAACTCGGTTAACTCGCCCAAACACATTACTGTTATTATATGGGTAAAAAGGCAATTCGCCCAAACGCAAACCGCCCGCATCCATTACCGGTAAGAAAATAAAAACGAAGGAGTTTACATTAGACCTTTTCTGTACCTTTTTATCTAACCGGTATTCTCGGGGAGCTTACAATCGCCCCAATGGGCGTCGTGCCGTCGTTCATAACCGCAAACTTTCAAAAAAAGGTCGTCGTTCAAAACTGCACACTTTTATTCCTTAATCCCGGATATTTTCCCCAAACCAAACAGTTCAATACCGCACACATTGATTCATATCAATAACGTATACATTTGTCTAAAATAACATTATCGTTTAGTACCGCACACCAGATAATCATATTTAATCAAGAGCACAAAATCATAAAAATAAGACTTTCGGGATTATACGCAGATTGCTAACTTACCATACGTTTCTCATTTCATCAGATAAGATACGACCATGGATTTTATTTTCCAAATATTAGTACCAAATGAGTTAAAAATATTTAGTGTGATCGAGTGTCTTTTCAGCTTCACGTACAATTTGACCCGAATTTACGGTGCTTACAACAATATTAAACATCGAATTCGCATAATGGACGACATGATACAAGTGTACACAAATAATAAAGGTGCACCAATCAATTTTTATCAAAACTACCTATACATAATATCGTCATTTTCGTACAAATAAAAAATCCGGGCGGCGGGCACTTAGTTTGGCTTTGCAATAATAAGTTATGTAGTGTTATGATGACGACAAATGCAAATGTAAATGTATTCATTAAACAGAATAAAAGTGAACATAATCACGAAAACGAAGAAATCAATCCAGATTTAAAAGAAATTCGACGTGCCGTTAAACGTAACTACGTAAGTCACAATTACAGTGATGTGTAGTACAAATCTTCAATTTTTATGTAAGTAATGAATTAAAATTAAATTGAATTTATATTAGGAGACGGAACTTTCACTTATTGTCCGAAACATTTTTACCAACAATTTACTATCCACGGTGTTTGTAAACAACATTATGTACCACTTGTTTTTTGTTTTTTACCATCGAAAACAAAAGAAATTAATAAACAATTAATGTAGGAAACATTAAAAGATTTATGTTTAAATTATGCCAATAGTGTAGGTATTCCAGCCTTCACTCTTACTATTAAATTTTGAACTTGGGGCTCACATTGCTATTAAAGAAGTATATCCTTTATTATTATCAAAGCCTGTCGTTTCCATCTTGGTCAAGCATGGTACAGAAAAATCAATTCTATTCCAATATTGAAAAAAAAAATACCATGATAAAAATTCACAATATGGATTATGGTTAAAACTTTTTTTTTGGTTTGCCTTATTATTTACCATCACATTTGATTCCCGAGGCGTTTGTTGAGATAATGGCCACTTGTCCAGATGAAAAACAATTTTATGATTTCGCTGATTACATATTGGATAATCATATTGAGACCAATCATTTTTCACCAACATTGTGGGCAGAGGAGCCCAATAAAAGTACAAGAACGACGAACGGCGCAGAAAGTTATCATAGTCAACTTGGGCATGAACTAAAGTTCCACGTCCTACTATATTTCATTCGGTAAGAATATAAATTTAAAATAATAAATATATTTTGAGTAATTATTAATTTATTTCGTTTATTTTATTTTGTTCGGATAGATGTTATAAAACAACAACATACAATAACTGGAACCAAATTTTGACTCATATGAAACAGCAACGTGAACTACGGAACGGACGGCAAAACATTATTATTTTATGACTATTCGCGCCTGCGATAATACGCCTGGATAATGGCGCCTGTACGACGAACGAACGAACTGCTGCACCGCGCCTGGCCCTTGCTGGACAATGCCTGGTCGTTGCCTAATCTAAATATTATATAATAATCTTAATAATAACTGTGTGTGTGTGTGTGTGTGTGTGTGTGTGTGGTGGTCGGTGGGATGTACTAGTACGTACCTATTATGCGAGTGGCGGAGATGACGACGGCGCGAACAACAACTATTGCAGTGTTGTTTAATGTTTGTATATACTATGAGAAATTGAGAAATAAATTGTCGATTTTCTTTTGAGAAATTCTGTAAGAAATATATATAGGTACCTACATAGCGTCTTTAGATTTCCACCAAAAGGCTAAGGGTCGACAATGTATTTCAAATAGAAATCTTTCACAGGTATATACCAAACAATGTTGACTCTATTGAATCCCAAAGAATACTAAACAATGTACGCGCAGTGGAGCTTTAAAAAATATCCAGGATAAAGGATATTAAAGCAAATATAAAATATAAAATGCCAAAATATCGTGATCGACTCCAACCAACGCCATTTTCACTAGAAAAACATTTATAAGGTAAATATAATAAAACTGAATTTTATTTGTGAATATATTTTAAATACTAGTTACATTACGTCATATCTAGGAATGCATGCTTATATAATATACCAGATGATTAATTTATCATTAAATACTTATTATTTCAAAAAGTACAAATGATTTAAAAAAAAAAATTAGGTGATGTCTAGTCGTTAAAAAACAACATAATAATAATTATACATTAAGGTTTTAGTATTAGATTCTGAAAGGTTGATAAATGTATTGATTTTACAATGATGTGTGTTTTTATATTTATTCATTTTTTTTTTTGTCGGTCATCACGGTTTCTTGCAGTAAAAGTGCTTTGATTTTCTTCAACAGCAACTTTTCTGGTAGGAAAATGAAACTATATTGTGTAGTGCACCTATAGTATGTGCATTCGGGAGGTCAAAATTTAAAAATTCCCAATAGTTTTCAAAAGCAACAGTAAAAACAAACAAAAAATTAAGGAAAAACGGGGAAAACATCGAATTTGGTTTTTAGTGTAACTTTAACAGAAATGACCGTAGACATGCCATTTTTATTGTATATTTGTGTAAGCATTTTATATTCACCATACAATTTTCCAAATATTTTGATTTGTGTTGAACTATTTATATTGGCATATGAAATTTATTGATTATTATTTGTTTTTTTTTAAGCCCAAGTCGATAAAAAAATTTTCGCACAGTCAAAAAACTTGAAAATGTAATACAAGGTTCCTAACTTCCTTGTAAGTTGTTGTTAATTGGAATTTAAAAAAAAGTTAAGGGCGAATCTCCGATAATTTTTTATGAGCTTTTAACTTAGAATTTTGACAAAATTGGTAAAAATCACGAAAATTAGCAAATTATATTTAGTGAAAATTCATAAAAATTGTCTATTTATATTTAAGATTTAAAAATGTAGTACAAGATTCCTTACAAGTTTGTTTACTTTTACCAAAAAAAATTTCTATCGGAAAATCAAATTAAATATTTATAAGTGTTTTGAAGTTAAAATGTTTACAGCATTGGATTTTCACCCGATTTCTCTTGTACCGATTTTCTTATTTTGTGTAATTCAAAAACGAATTAGTAGACCCTTCAATTTTACACCAAATGTTTATTTCATCAATTCATAGACTTAATACAATTAATATTTTGACTCGTTTTAAGCTGTCAACGGACATTTTCAATTTTTGAAAAATGTCAATAAAAGTTTATTGGTTGGGTCAAAACGCATGACAATTTAATACAAGAATCTTCATAACTTGTTACAATAGCAGTTAAAAAATATTAAAAATACATAGTCACGATTTTTTTTATAAGCATTTAAAGTTCAAATTATGATAATATTTATAAAATTTAAAATTTAAAATGATTTTGTAGTTAAAAATGAATAAAATGTTCAATTTTTATAGCTAAGGAATAGCAAGGATTGAAAATTTAAAACAAGGTTAAACTTAAGCAGTTTTTTCCATAACTAACTATATTAATAAAGTTATTTTTACAGATATTTTAATTTAAAATTTTGACGAAATTACATATTAAATATTTGTTGTAATTTAAAAATGTTATTCGTGGACACCTTTAGGGTATATTATTATATTTTATACACAAAATGACTTTTTAAAAGTGATTTTTATGGCAAAACTGTAGTGCTAATTCATAATAGTAAAATAAATTACTTTAATCATAATAATATCATCAAATATACTAAGTAATGTGTATTAGTGTATTTTAGGCTAATAGAACTTCTCTCTTATAATCTTTTTTGGTGTACAATGATTTTATATCATTGAATTCAAATTTAACATTAGGTATCCATTACAGCTGCGACCCACTTGTAACCTATTGCAGGTACAGCAGAGCAACATCAATTTACCATATTTTTATAATTTTTTTTTAAATGTAAGTATTAGGAAAATAAAAAAAAGAGAACTTAATTTGATGTTGTTAGGTTCCATATAACTTTTAATTTGACTGAGTTAAAAAGAAAAATAGGATAACTATTAACTTTAAACTTTTTAAAATGTTTTTTATCAACTTAACTTATCTCAATTAAAAATTATCATCAACTTGCCTTGGCTTTGGAGCAGTAAAAATGCTTCCAGTTTCTATTCAGCATATTTTGTGGCAGGAAAATGGTTGGTACTTTGGGGGTGTCAAAAGTAAAAAAATGCCATTAGTTTTCAAAACCACTTTTCAACAAAATCGATTTTGTTTTAGGTGTAACTCAATAATAAATATTATCATAGATAGGTACTTGGCATTTTCACAGAATTTTTAAATATACCACCAAATTTTCAAACATGTTGACTCTTTTTCTGCAATTTATTGGCATAAACCATTTTCGATTTATACATTTTTTTTAAATTAATGTCAGTAAAAATTGTTATGCTTGATCAAAAAGTTTAAATTAAGGTATAGGGTTTGTCACAAGTAGTTGTAAGTGGAAATAAAAAACAATTATATCATAAATCTACAATCATTTTTTACAAGTTTCTGAAGTAAGAATTTTGAAAAAATCTGTGAGATCAAAGTAATTGTATAACAATAGATAATTTTTATTTAAAACAATACAGTTTAAAGTTTAGATTTAGAGTTTTAATTGTTCTTGAATATTTTTTTCTGGCATCCAAATTTAGAAAATTAAAACTTTGTTATTAAGTTCCTTAATATTATTAGGTAAGGTTGTATTATCTAGCAAAAGGAGATCAATATCATTTTGTCCAAAAATAATATACTTTCTAAGTTTTTTATGGTGCTGTATGTGTATGTAGTTTATTAATTTATTATGTTAGCATTTTCTAAATATTAAAATTTAATGTTAGTTTATTATAATTTCAATACACTGACCTAACCATTTTTTTGATTTTGGAATTGTTTAACAATAATTAAAGACATGCTTAACATTTAAATCAGAAATAAATAAGTAGAGTAATCACTGATATAATATAAATCAAATAATTGGGAAGAATATGAAGGTTAGTTTTACTTTAAATAGGTAATGTTCTTATATTATTGTATGCAAACATTAGGAGAACCCGAACCCATGTGTTGTCCTAATCTTACAAATGTACAACATTTGAACATATCTGGTAAATGTTGTGTTTAGACTATTTTTATTTTATTTAAAACTGGAATTTTATTGATGTTTAAATTGTAAATAGTTATGAGTATTTTAAAATTGTAATACTTTACATAAGTAGTTTTTATACACTTAAAATTAAAATATCAATGAAATCCTATATTCTTACCTTTAAGTTGGTAATACGTGTAGGTCTGCAATTAATTATAATATTAAATCTAACAAATCCTTATTTAGGTTTGTTGTCCTCTTAGCAACAATAGCATTTAAGATATTGTAGAAAGAAAAAATTATTTTTTGGAAGATTAACTCACTAACGCTATTAAGTTTTAATATAAATTAATACCTAGGTCATTTTTTCTTTAATAATTACACTATTCAACTTAACAAGTAAATACTGTCACTAAAATGCAAGGCTGGGCAAGTTAAGTCAAAAGTTAACTAATAATGTTTTATAACTTTGTCAAGTTAAACATATTCAAGCTAGGACATAGGGTATCACATAACTCATGTTATAACTACTACTTTTATGACTACATACTACACATAATTTAATATAGACACAAAGTAACATCTATAGAAAATAATCATTAATCACAAATCACATTCTACATTTCTCATTTATTATACTTGGACATTTCTATGGATTATTATACAATTATGATACTATCTAATATTTCATAAAGCAACAACATTACAAATAAATGGTTAATATATAGTGGAAAGTTTAACTTCCTTAAAAGTTTACCTAACCTTAACACGTTAAATATATTATAAATGTAACTGATTAAGTCAAAAAGTAGTTTAAAAAAATAGTAGTCATTAACTTAGTATTATTTTGAATACATTTATAGGTTAAAGTGTATTTATCTAATCTAAATATGCTGGTTCTTTTCTAGAATTCTTGTAAAAAGGTTTTGAATTTTTGATGGAAGGAGTTATTAGTCGTAAATACTATTACATACATTTTATTTCATTGAACAGTCATCTTATAATCATTTAATATAACTATCATTTGCAATTAATGCTAACCTTATGGCTATGTTTATTTTATTTTAGAAAACTACAATAAATATAATATTTCTATTAGTATTAAAATGTATTATGTAATTAGTTTAGTAAATATAAATCTATTACACGTTTCAATTCCCTTCATATATTTTTAATTTTATACAAAAATGGAATTTTCATATACTGATCTATTAGTTATATAGTTTAATGAAAAAAATGTTACATAATAATTATGATTCATTTATAATTGCTTATGTTTTAATTTAAATTGTCCAAATTGTTCTTTTAACAGTTATACAAATACAATATTACAGGGCTACCTGAATCAACTTAATATTAAACAATATTGATAGTAATTTATTTTTCAAAAAGTACCAACCATAATCCCATTAATATAAATGTACACGCGTCAGAATGGGTTAAGTGCAACGCACAAATCCCTTTATCCTAATAAAATCTCAACATGATCGCTCACAAAATTATACAACTATTATGTACAATATACACAATCTAGGACAAAGTGACAGTAAAAAAAAAAGTAAGCCGATTAATAAAAATCAGTAGTAAAAATAAAAAAATAATACAAAAAAATATTTATTATAATAAATCTAATAGATCAGTATTAAAATATTTAAAGAAAAATTATGTTAAATTTTGGTATATAGGTAAATTATAAAATTAATGATAATGTTCATAATACAACTGTAATGTTATCACATTGTATCCCACTTTAAAGTTTATTAAATTAAATATTACATACTATAAAATGTTATACTTTTACTTGGAATCAACTTAAGTATTTGACCTTATTAATATAATATGACGTATTAAAATTTATAACATTGTTATATAGTAAATATAAATAATAAATTTATTAAAGTTGTTTTAAATACTGTATTTTAATTATTATTTATTATATTTTTTTATATCCATTTCTCCCCACGCACATTTATCCCTATACAAATATATACAGGCATACAGTTTAATATACATTATAATTTATAATACATATTTCATATCATCATGTATTAATTATACCTACAATAAAAATATTAGTGATAATTTTTCTATTTTATTTGAATTTATTATTGATATTTACAATAATAAGTGGTGAACTATGGACTTAAAATTGTATTATTATTCCCTAATGGTTAATAGTTCAATTCATTAAAATCTGTAGTATTGTAAATACTTATGGTAAGTTGGTCAATCAGCAAGCTTTTACTTATATACTGTAATTTCTGACTGCCTACAATTATTGACATCCAATTTCATGAAATATAAATTTCACACATTTTTCTATGTTGCCTATTTCAAAAGGCACATACCTAACCACCGTCTAAGTGTATACATAGTTATGTTCTTACCTTTAATATATTAAACATTTGTTAATAAAATTAAAGTTATAGTTATTCAGTAGAAGATGTCATTCTAGTAGAAGTATAAATTAATAAATAAAACACAAAACAAAATTATTACGGACAGAATTTTTTTTAATTATAAATGTTGTTGAAATGTTACAAATATCTAAAGGCAACTACAAGTTATATTCTACTTTAAAAAAATGTAATTTATATAATCTGTAATGTCTTTAAATTATAATTGTGACAATAAAATTGTGTAAAGCCAGAGAAAACAAATTATTTATCAGGATGTATAGGTTAGGTCAGATAATAAAAATCTCAATACATCTCCTGTTTCCAAGTACATATCTCAGATAATCTAATTGTTCCAAAATAGTGGCATCTTTAATTTAATATAACGACAAGATGTTTTTGTGTACGTATGCCAAGCAATCTAAATGCCCAGCCTTGTCAAACATACTTCTATCCCATAGCGAGTTTGTCCGTCGGATGGAAACACACGAGCCAAGGCCATGGCAATGACATTTAGACTGCATGGTATACGTACACAAAAACCGTTAATCTAGGAATTACGATGCTAATGGATCAGTGTATATATATTTCTGAGGTACGCACAAGAAAATGGATTTGTGTAAGATTAAATTACCATAACCCCACAGCAGAAGGTGAAAACATTGGATCAGTTTTGAGATACAGTGTATTACTGACAGTTTAGCTGCCATCTTGAAGAAGGTGAAAACAACGGATCAGTTTTGAGATAGTGTGTTACTGCGAGTTTGAATATTCTTCAGCCCATATTGATTGATGCGTAGAAACACTGCAAACAAATAACAAATACATTATTAGTGACATAATCATAAAATTGTTTTTGTGAGCACCAAGAAGACATAATGCATGCAACGTTGTCAAGGCAAAGCGCTAAAATCTAATTGTATCGTCGATTGTTAGGCGCACTGCGGTATTTTCACCGTTGTCTGAACGGTCTTACCGTCTCGGTTTATGAGTTACTGTCCAAACAGTCTAAACAGCCGTTTTCATATAGCCTGGGTTCTACTACGCGGGGGTCGCGGTAATATCGGTTAGTGGAGTTCAGTCGACTAAAAAACGGCCTTTTAGACGGCATGTCACGCAAAAGTAAAACCGTTCGGACTCTACGGCAATAATATGGCAGTAAGGGCGTTCCTTTGCGCATAGCATTCAATTCAGAATACGGTACTTACTTGATTTTGACTTTTAACGGCTTTCGACTCTCCGCACACGAACGACAAGGTTCGGCGATCCATATTCCAGACCAAGGTGGTCGTAATACAATTATTAATTGTAAAACAACCACCCTGGCCCGAACCGAATGACAGGATTTGAAAGACAATCAACAATTCAACAACCAGAGAGCAACCAACGGTGTAGAAAATATGACAACAGCAACAGCCGAGAGCGACCGACGCGGCGACGCCTCGAGCTCGAAATGAATCTATGCGGAGTAGACGCCGACGCCGGACGCCGGACGCCGGACGCCGGACGCCGGGAAGCCGCCACGTCGACGCCAGAATACGCCAACGGCTGCCACGTCGACGCCAGAGTGTGCCAACAGCAGCTGCCACGTCGACGCCAGAATATGCCGACAAGGCGCCACGTCGACGGGGAAGCCGTCGGTGGTACCAACCGTCGCGAGGAGAGAGCGGGTCTCGTGGAGGACGTGACCAACGGATAATAACGGAATAGAACGCTGAAATTAAAAAAAAAAAAAATAATAATAATAATAATAATAATAAAAATAATCAATAATATTATTGCTCGTCGACCCGGTCGTATAGAGGACGGCTGGTATATTATATATTATATAATAATATCTATGGTCGTATTTCCGTTTACGATCGTCTCGTCTCATCGATTACTACTATAACAATCGTTGAAGGTTGATATTATTTTATTTTGTGTTTTTAATACACGACATTTACACGATATATGACAAGATCGGTAACAGGTACTAGAACTACAAGTCGACACTGTCTGTCTGCGACCGTGATTCAAGAGCTGTGGACTGCCAGGCCCGAGAGCCGCCGCAATACAATTATATTATGCTAATGGCAGTTCATAATACTATGGATACCCATGAGCCTAGGGTTGTCATCCGTCCCGATATATCGGGACTGTCGCCGATATTTGAATATTGAACCCTCTGTCCCCCGACAAAAGACCAAAATGTCCCGATTGAAACTGTGCGTTGCCAATTTCTATTTATTGCATACAAAAACGTGCATGACACGATCGACATGATCGTCAGGTATCGCTTGTGTTCGCCGGACGCTTTCGTTCGTTCTCAGAATCGTATCGGTCGCGCCGTGCAGCAATATTATCGGATTCGTGGTATTTACAATTTTACGTAGGGCACGGGCACACGGCATAAGCCGATAATCGTCAGTCAGTCGCTATATAGTATATATTTTAATCGACGGTGTACAGTGCGATTTTTTCTTTAGGTAAGTGCGTAAATTTAAATGTACGTTTGTTTACGAAAATGTTTGCGGCGAGTAGGAGAAAGTGCCATTTTTTGGACGAATATACGAAAGAGTGGAGTTTTATAAAACAAAAAAAGGGCGTACGGATGAAGTAGCGCTTTGTATTATTTGTAATTGTTTTTTATCAGTTACTCGCGGAGGTAAAGCTGACGTAAAACACCACGTTTCTACGACTAATCACAAATAAAATTCGATGTTGTATCGGCATCATCGCCTATATCCAAATTTTAAAATTGAGTATTTTTATACACTTCATCCTAAAATTTCTAAAACGTCCCGACAAGACCCTACCCAAACGTGTCAACCCTACCCGGCCATGACCCATATAATGATTTTCTTTCCATATCTAAAATATTTATAAAAATTTGATATCAGTTTCCTCCTGCATTTTTTCACATATAATAAAAAAAAAGTTTAACGGAAGTTCACATTCATATTTGTTATGGGTGTTTGGAGTTCAATTTTTTGACACTGGATAAAATATTCATACACACATTTTTCTGCAGTATGTTCAGTGTTCACGAAATATTCCCTCATCATTTTATAGCTGCATAGAAATATTAATAACACATTTTTGTACAATTTATTGCATTATTTATTTATTTTTTACCAACATTTTTATGTGCAGCTGGAGTTTATATTTTGACAAAATTTGTCAAAATCACGATGATATATTGATATACAAACTTCTTTTTAGTAAAAAATCTTGTAAAATCTTCAACTTTTAAATTTAATAAAATATTCCTCATAAGTAGTTCCTACTGGAACCAAAAGTTCTAAAGAATATATTAGTTTGGTATATTTTTAAAAAATACATGAACTCAGTTTTTTTTTATCAAGTTTGGGTGAAACTAGATATTTTAACAAAGATTGACAATGTTAGTGATTTTGTTAATTATTATTATTTTTATATGTTATTAATTATTATATTGTTTACATACTATGCGTTTTTAAATAGACATTTCTTCTTAAAAATCCATTCAACCCACAGTTATATAAAATAAATTATGTACCTACTTTAATAGCAATGAAAAATTATCATTTTATCATAAAATATAATTTACTCGATAATTTAGCAATAAAGGCTGAGTGCTGACAGTCTTTCTTTGCTCTGAATAGTGTTTTTATACAATAGGTAATACAGTTGAAGGAATATACCTGCCTATTGAATTAAAATTCTGTCATTGCTGCTCAACTTTAGAAAATAATACTTAATAATTCCTATTAATAATATTCACTATTTCTTGTAGAGATAGTACAAAGGGCATGACGTACAACAGTGGCGTGACAAAGGACATTATTTGAAGCATGTGACTCAGTTTAAATAGTGGTGGGTGGGTGACCTGGTGACTAAGAACACACTTAGCAAATCGTTCTCACTTACCACAAGTTAATATGTAATTACAAGTATTTTAAATAATATATATAAATTGTTGTGCCTCATAGTTTAATGACGTTTGCCACACCACTGATGTACAATATTTACTAATATGTAATATACCATCATTTATGTCATAAATGCAATTGCTTGTGTCATGATGACGTAGTTTCATAGTCCATAGATCTTATTCTGGAACTTTTGCTTGCCGACCCTTCTACATTACCACTATTACTGAGTACATCAAACTGTCAGTAGAGGCCATGTATCAAAAAACGGTAAATTGTTCAGGAGAGTTTTTAATATTCAATAGCTTATAGTAATTAGTAGTAAGTTATCTTCAGCCACATGTAAGTATAACAAATTGTATTTGATAATTTCTTGTGAATGTAATGATGTCCTTCTTTAGAACTTTAACTTACCAGAAATAGTATTTATTCATATAAAACAATAAATATTTTGAGATCTGGCCTTTTACATTCATAATTATACTAAATAAGCGTTTATATTACCATCCTATTTTATTCTAACAGTAAATAATTACTGATGGACGATAATATTAATATTGTTATTATTGTATTCCATACACAATATTATACAAAAAATGTGTTAAGAATTTCAATTATAATAATATTATTTAAAAATTTCCTATTTATTTAAAAACAAATACTTTTTATTTCAGAATATTCTATCTTCTACACAATATACAGTACTTATTTAAAAGGTACCTATAGAATCAGTTTCTAATAGATAGGAATTTTATTATTTTTACAGTTAAAAGAACATTATAGATAAAAACTTAATTTCTTATACTTAAGACATAATATTTAATTTTTTAAATTTTTTTTTAAAAATAAATAATACTCTTTCATTTCAAGGTGCATTATAGATAAAAACTAACTCAGTCCATACTTTGGTAATAAGTTCTTGCAATTATTTTTAGTCTTTTCAATTGCTTTCAAAAGTTTCATGGTTTAATTGCACTTAATTTATACTTACCAATTATATTAACATCAATTACAAATTAAAATATAACGTTTTAATAAAAGTTATGAATAACATAATAATTATAAGAATAAAAGTAACGTCATAATAATTTCAAAAGCTAAATTAATTATAATAAGTCTTATTCGTGAGCTATATTGACTTCCTAAGTATTTTGGCAATTATTAGTATTTAAACTATTGTAAAATGGCTTATAATAGTTAGGGCAATAAGGCCTTATTTCAATATGCGGCTTTTATTGCTATTTGTTTCAAGAAATATTTATAGTTATTTTAGTGCAATAAAGCCGCTTTTCATTAAGCAGCAGTATTGTTTTCAACAAGTATATTTAGAAGGCCACATTTCGTTTTGCAGCTTTATTGTTATCAACTACCTATATACGTGGTTCAATGCAATAAGTTAATTTTAAATTATATTATTATAGATTGTGCCACTCTTAAGAAATAGAGAACAAAATACAAGTTTAGGGATTTTAAAACCTTGAAATTGAAAAAATTTTGATTAACGGCTCTCTTGCACCGACAGTACGATATATTAAAGTATAAAGCAAAGTATTATTGCGAATAAAACTATTAATGGCGGTTATGAAAAACCTACCAAATTAAAATTTAATTTGAATACAATAGTTGATTTAAATTTTGCAAAAAACTTTTTATTGAACGTTCACAAAAACAAAAATTGACATAATATATGTTTTACTATAAATTATACATAAATATGTATGTATTATAACTACTTTACCTCGTATCAACACAATTATATAAAATTTTTTACAAATTTATTCACCGCATATAAACGATTATTGAGTATAGCAACACCTAAATCACTTCTGTTAGTAGTCATGCTAGTTACTATTTTACATTTTTGAACACTGACATCAAAAACCTCTGCACCGATTCATATTTGTAATCGCTAAAGGTTGAACTGACTTCTGTAATTTGAATTGTAAAGCTTCTAATGCAAAATCATTACCTAAATAAATTATAATAATAATAAATAAAATATATGAATTCATAATGAAGTAATATTTAAGAAAATAACATTTACATTTATAATTATTTTTCAGAAGTTAGAACTACATTATGTAATACATCAGGTGTTGATGTTAATACTGGCAAACACATATGCTCCATTAATTCTGGTGATACATTTTTCTCCAATCAAAATCATGTACTCATTTAATAACACATCCAAAGACCTAAAATATGAAATAAATATATTTTAATCATAACATAATATACACCTAATTACATAAGATTATTGGCAATTTTTTTTTCAGACCTATTTATTTGTTACCTATAGTATAGATTAGTAATCAAGCTATATTATTCTGAACGATGTACAAGAAAAATTTTTTTATTGCTCAAATTTAAAAACATACTGTACTTCTGAAGACATTTTCAAAACCATTTCATTTTATTTCCAAAAAATAAATTTACAAATTTCTAACAATATCGGTATCTGTATTGACGGAGCTGCAGCTATGATCAGAAAATGTAATGGTTTTGTCACACATGTTCAACAAATTGCGTATGAAAACATTTTATCAACTCATTGCTTCATTGTGAGCAATTAGCCGCTTAACATATGAACGAAAACCTATTTGATGTATTAAATATATGCATACAAATTGTGAATTTTATACGAACTAGTAAGGCAAACACTCGGGTTTTCAAAGTGATGTGTGAAGAAATGGGTTCAGATTTTTAAAATTTGCTATTACACACTCGTGTTTAATGGTTTTCAAAGGAAAAGTTTTGACCCGGTTGTTTGAACTGAAAACAGAAGAAGAAATATTTTTGAGGGACAAAAAATTATCACTTAGTGATTATTAAAAAAATAAATGGTTAGCAAAACTTGCATATCTTTCTGATATATTTTCAATTCTAAATTAGCTAAATGTGAGTATGCGAGAGTATCTATTCGTACAATCTGATCAAAATATAGTATCATTAACCAATTAAGAAAAACTGATTGAATTGAGTTCAGATGTAAACTTACATGATGTTTTTAAAAGCTACACAAATAGAGGTCAAATTTAGATAAGGGTTCAAAATGAATATTCTAGTTTGGCAGAAAAAGCATTAAAAGTAATCAATCCATTTACAATGACATATTTGAGTGAAAATAGATTTTCCACAATGATTACAATGAAAAATAAAACTAGAAACTGACTGGACATTTCATCAGCTATGAGAATTACTTTAACAAAGTAAAATACACTAAGAATTGACGAAATAATTTCATATCAACAGTAACAACCAAACCATTAAGAACATTAATTTAAAAATATATTTATAGAATGAAATATTTGGTGTACGTTTTTATAGTTAAAAATAATTATAATATTATATGTATTTTATGTTTTTTTTGCACACTGTACAGTACTTATTGTATTAATTATTGATAATAATCTATGAGAGTATATAAAAAAATGTATGTAGGGGGTGCTAAAAAATTGAAATTCAAAAGGGGTTGCCACAGTAAAATGGTTGAGAAACACTGACCCATACAATACATTAGTGTATGATCATCACAGTGTCTCATATTACTCATATGGCCAGTCTGGGGTTCCCTCTTTTTATAGCAAGCAAAGAAATATCTATTATATTTGTATGGCATTGAATTCAATTTCCAATTTTACAGTTTATATTTAAATATCATTTGTTTCTTATACCTAAAAACCATTGTTTATTGTAATTAATTGTATAAAATATAAATTTTATAGGTTCTCCTTTGTGGCTATATAATTATAGAGATTTAATACTTGGTTAATATTATCTATTATGACTACAGCAGTAATGCCTAGTATTCTACAACTATGTAATATCTACATGACAGGGTTATCTTTATGCTTTATGCCACCTAAGACAGTAACCGACAGTAGTTTGCAAGTACAAGAAATTAAGAATTTAGAATTTAGTTTAGTTATGGGGTCTGGAGGCCCTGTGGTCGATCCGGTCGGATGCAATGACTACAGTGTTCAATTACGCCTGATAAATAGTTGGGTAACTTCATGATTAACTTAATTGACTAGGTATATATATATATACAGCGGGTGTCTTGAGTCGACAGCAATCCAGTTATGAAGTTGGCCTTGATGTCCTGAGCGGCCTCTCACACAGCTTACATGTTGCAGGCGGACTTACACACTGGCACTCTCTTGGCAGTGATGTAAACTGCAATAGTAGCGATACGACAGTCGATGGAAGCTGAAGTGGATGGAGAAATGATTGTCTCGCCTAGTCAATGATTTCTTAGCGTATAAGCACACACTGGCATGATGATCATGTAGGAATATTTATAATAGTTGGACTATTCAGAGGGCTTATTTTTTCCTCAAATGGATTGGTAAGATCATTACAGAAAATAATGTAAATCAATTTTTCACAAGATAATGATAGGAACTCATCATCTTTAACCATTGCTCTGAAAATATTAATCATTATTTATATATTATATTAAAATGTCAAGAATTAGGTAATATATTTTATATCTTACAAAAAAATGTTCATAAATGCTACAGAACTTGACAACAGCTCTGCACAATTATGTAAGTCGGTAAATGATTTTATAGAGACAATTTGAAATATCTATTTGTGTTTGTAAAAACGCTGCACATACATCACTTGCATAGTCTAACCCAGAGGTATTCAAACTTTTTCATCACACGGCTCCTTTAAGTCTTCACAAAATGTTGACGGCTCCCAAATTATAAATGACAAAAAAATCAATGTTTATATGAATGTAATTTATATTTTATTATTTATTTACCATATTACATAAATAAAAAAATTAAAGCTAAATTTAGCGAATGATTGTAGTAGATAATGCAACGTTTCCCAACCGGTGTGCCTCAATGATAATAGTAAACATTTTTCGTAAATATATTTATTGGTTTTCAATTATACTACGCGGCTCCCTTCGACAACTCCCGCGACGCCCCTGGGAGCCGCGACGCACAGTTTGAATACCTCTGGTCTAACCAATCGATTGCAGCTGATTTAAAAATAACCTTGAGAACACAACAATAATGAATTCAAATTATTTTGACAAGAAATTTACAACAATTCAACAAAATTATCATTCATACCTGTACATTTTTATTGGTAACCATCATTTTGCCAGTACAGGATTAATCTACAAACAGTATTAAAGCGGCGGAATCAACTTTAATTATAAAACCAAGATTTGAATTATTGTTCTTCCCAAAACTGTTTAATATAATAACTAATAAGGAAATATGGACTAGCTGCTACTCAAACATTTTTTTTTGTCCAAATACTATTATACCATCTTCAGTTACCACCAATCTAATGAAGCATGAATCTTTATTTCTAAAAACAAAAATAATATTGTTACTAATGTTCATTTCATTAGCAGATAAATCAATTTTAACATACTTACCTATGATTGAGTCTTCAAATAGTTGTTTAAGAGAACGAAGATGTATTGAAAAAGTAACATCCTAAAGTTCAGATCCATTAGTTTCCAAAATTCACCTTAAAACATTTTCACACGATGAAACCATTTTATTTACCATCATAGAACACTTTTAAAATATGTTTCAAATGATTATTAATTTTTATATAATGATTGTGTTAAAACTGAATACTTAATTTAAGTTAATAATGACTAAGGAAAAACGAAATAATTCCTATAAATACATTACTATTTAAAAATTAATAACTTATTTTAAATATAAAAATTGTTAAAATAAATAAAGAGCGTATCAGATTTTCCTATCTAAATTACTTATATACACGCTAACATAACCTTTTATTTATACAATATAAATAACTAGGTTTAGACTATATAAATAAAATGCTATGTTAGTGGGGGTGTGTGTGTGTGTGTGTAAACAAACCAGTCATGGTTCTGAAATTGGGTACATAAGTAATTCTATGCCTGAGAATGTTAACTTCGATTTTAATTTTCAAAATTTTGTTTTTATAGTAAGGCATACACAGGGATTTGTTTGTTCATGATTAACAAATATTTTTTTGTTTATAGGGTTGCCATAGAATACGAAAAAAAATTTAGTTGTTCTAATTGGATATGATTTTAGACACAATATATTTTATTATTGGTCGAAACTGTGTTAAAAATATACTGTGTAGTTCAATTTAATGGAGTTTAAGATAGAGTAAAAATAAAATAATATTAATATTTGTTATTTTGAATAGCACAAAGATACAATTTAGTTATAACTTACTAATACTCAGGAGCCAGCGATTGAGGTGAAATTAGGATGCTAAGATCTATTACCAAATAATTTGGTGGCAGCAAAGAAGAAAACAAACCATTTTCTTCCTTTAACATAGTTTCTATATAAGTTTTTGCATCCATAGTCCAAACTTCATTACATCTATTCATATAAATAAATATTAAATAGTATTAACTGTAATTATCATTAAACATTTTATACACTAATGATTACTTGATATTATAAATATATGTCATTGTTCTTGCTTCTGCCAATCCTGAATTCTGATATATTAAGTTTTATCTTGTTTACAAATTTTGTATAACCATAAATTAAACTTGCACTCAATAAAGGCTTTGACAATATTGATATTTAAAAAAACTAAGAAGAAAAAAATGGTTAACATTAAAATAAAATAAATTATAGATATAAAAACATACCTCAGTTCGGTTTTGCATGTCGTCTAGTGCGCACGTATGCTGATATATGCTCCGTTATCAGAGAAAGTATAAGGTCCACGTCATTAGCGCATCCGCGCTATGGCTTTAGTACCCAATTACCATAATAGATATTATGATAATATTATAATGATATTATTATATAGATACGCCACTTACAAACAACTTAGCCCAACGTGTGGCAACAGTTTATGATATCCAGGGTAACGTAATTCCTTTTCAAAATGCGGTATCGGAAAGCAAAATTGCTCATGTTCACAGCAAACGTAATCTATCATCTTCGTCTACTTCCCCTAGACCTGCGGACAAGAAGTTAAAATCATTTGTTTCTCCGAACCGGTTCGAGGTTCTACAAAGCGACAATGAGTCAAGTGAGTGTGTTTTGCTTCCATCTAGTGAACATACTGCAGTACGTGAGACTCAGCCTCAAACCGATGTTATCAAAAATGCAACTCGTTTTCAACCTATTTACATCAAAAATATTACCAACTTCACCTTGTTCAAAAATAAATTATACAACTCACGCGTATTAATGGTTTCACCTGCAAAGCTACATCATCCTATCTCATCGTTCGACCAAACGGGCCGGACAATGCTAAATTAATACTCAACCACTTAAAGAACTCCGGCACGGATTTCCACACATTTTGCCCACCTAGCTCTCGACCTTTCAGGATTGTTATCAGAAATTTACATCACTCAACTCTTAGCTTTGATATCTCCGATGCTTTAACTGAGCTTGGCTACTCGGTTAGACATGTTGAAAATATCAAAAAGAACAAAATACCTCTACCGTTATTTTTTGTAGACCTAAATCCCAATAGCAATAATTCTAAGATCTTTAAAACTACTATGTTAATGCATACCTCTGTCGTGGTCGAAAAACCACATAAATCCAAAACCGGTCCTCCTCAATGCCATAAATGTCAGGCTTATGGTCACACAAAAACATATTGTTCACACAAACGTCACAAACCTTGCTACATCAAATGCAGAGAAGAACATTTCTTCGATATGTGTTCCAAAGATAACAGTCTACCGACTAAATGCGCACTCTGCGCAGGTGCTCACACTTCATCGTTTAAAGGATGCCCAGTCTACATCAAACACGCTACTTCTTTCCATAAACATAAAGAGGGAAGACGTTTAACCTAGTCTTCGAGACCTATTAAAGTCATGCAGTCAAACCCCTGCAGCTCCAACAAAACTCGTACTTACGCCGATGCCACAGTCAATCAACCACCAGTCGAATTATTTGATAGTTCAAGTAAACGCATTAAGGAATTCTCTAATATTTTGTATCCAATAATTAAGTCTTTAATGACTGTTTTAAATAACCTAAATTTTATCTTATCCACTCCCTAAAAATTATTATTACTTTTAGATTATTTGTTCATAAATTTTCTTATTATCTTTATTACTATTCATTTCAACAGTACCTATATGTAGTTCCACTGTTGTTTTTATTGTTAATTTAAATCATTCATGTATCTTATAGTTAAGCTATATATTATATTCTCTTGTTTATGTCTGTAATTGTTTAACTATAATAGTTTTTATACTGAAAGTTCTAAATAAAAAATAAAAACATACCTGTTTTATAAGATGTAGTTAAAAGTTGATATTGTTTTGTTCTAACAGAATAAAGTAGACTGTGATACAAATATTGATTCATCATCCACCATAATAGATTTAATTTCGATAAATTATATTCTTCAATAGGTTTAATAACATCTTCTAAATGATCAGTAGCAGCCATTAATCTTTGATAGCAGTCAATGAAGTATAAACCTAGAGACAAAATAAAAAAGTTAGTACAACTTAATAAAATAATTTGAAATAACTTACAAAATACAAAAACTTGAGGTATTATCGTATTTCTATACTTTTTTTTTAGTATTAGCACTTGTCTACACCTGGCTTATAATACAAATTCCATAACAGTTTTCAATATTTTAAAATACATGATCAAAATCACAACTTTTAAATCAAGAAAATTTGAAAATTATTATTCATTTTTTTTAAATTATAATTTAATAAATAGATTTTACTATTAAAAAAAATGAAATTTGTATATTTAATTTAAATACAGAATAGTTTTTATTACAAAATAAATTATGAAAAGCATTGATTTAGTTTATTGAAAGTCGATGGGTATATGTGATAACTTACTGTAAAATAGTATTTTTAACAAAATTTTGAATATATTAGTAAATAGTCATATTAAAAATTATAATAATAATTTAGAAGTTTACAAAATGAATTCTAAAAATAATAAGCTTAAGAAAATAGCCCATGTAAACAATAGTGTATTTATTTTATTTACTTAATATTATTATTGACTTTATTTGTTTTGATCATGAAAATTTAAATTTTATACAACATTGGTATTATGATAAATGTATTATTAACATTACATATTATGTTATTTCTTGTTAAAATCTCATTAAATAATTATAATTAAAATAAAACATATTAGGTTAATATTAGTATATTACATCATTTATTTATGTTATTAATTTTGTTGTTTATGTATTATAATGTATTTATTTTCATACATAAGTAATCTTATATTTTAACTAGTTGGCCCAAACACAGTACTGAGTACAATTATGAAAATTAATTTGAAGAAGGGATTATTTTCTATGTCTGTAATCCTGTAGTCATTTTTGGTTGTTATATTAGCAAAAATGTGTTTGTTAGATGTATATTCTTTAAACACGTTTGCCCATGGTGTTTGGAAGTCATGTGTACATTAGATAACTTTTGTTTCATTTAAACTTGATTTTTAACAAAATAGAGCATAAAAATGCAATGATTGAGCGATGTTAGAAGCAGAAGTAATATATATAATTTAAAACATACAGTAATATTCAATGATATTTCAATAAAATTGTTCAAAAAACTAATTAGGTGTATATTATTTAATATATCAATAACAGAAGTTTGTTTTGTTATAGACATATTATATATATTATAGACATTTAATCAGCTGATTCAGTTCTTGTTTATTAATTATTTGAAGTCTGAACCACCAAAATACATAGAAACCAGCCTGAGTTTAAACGTTTGATTATCTGAACTAAAGAAATGGTTATAACTATCATATTCAAGGCCATAGTAATCAGATTAGCCGAATCACAGTGTCATTCTTTTGCTTATAGGCAATTAATTTATTGTAACTTAAGTTTACAGGTATTTTTGATGGTTAATTATTTGAATAAAAATAATATACATTTTGTTTTCTTTCAATATACAAATTAAAATATAAGTAAAAATACTTACATACAGACTAGGTTATGTTGATCAAAACGATAATATTCACTTTCATGAATCATACACTAGATATTAAATAATATTAAATGTATCAACTAAATAGAATCTATAGAAAAAAATATTTATTCATAGGTACATATAAGTAAGTTTGCCACAGTTAAGCAATAAACATGATTGTGTATTGGTAAACTACAGATGTCTGTACCATAAATCAAGTATCAAGTATGAACTACTACAACAGTACTAATATCACTATTTATTTCTTAGATATCTCAACTAAATTAATTTTTTAAACAACAAAAAAATACAATATAATGAATATTGAAAAAGAATTTGTAAACATTGAATATTGATTATCGAATAGTTGATAATGTTATCACAAACGTAACACTCCACTACTCTGGTCTACAACCAATGAGAGTTCGTGATCTTCCATGGCTAAATACATATAAATATATTCTTAAATATATTTGTGATTTTCCATGGATCTCAAGACAAAATTTTCTATAAGATTCCCGCGTACAGATTATCGCAGATTGACAATGATAAATTATGTTTAGATTATTTAATGCCGTGTTGCATAAAAAATTGATTAAATTTAATGGTATACTAGAATTGAACGGATCAATCGCTGAACGCTCAATCTTGTTTAAGGAAGTAAGGGACCACCATTTTAGCTCGCATTGATACATTTAATGTTTTGTGCAATCCGGCAAGTAAGTGTTTTATTGCATAAGCTCATAAAAAATGTAAAATGTAAATATTAAATTGTAAAATTACTATGTATTTTGTCAACGAATATTCAGATCACAAAAATACTAAGTATTTAGAAAATATAACTTCGGTGTTACTTGTCTAGTCTAACAAAATACCTATTTTTGATCGAAAATCCGGAACAATTGCATGCAGTTTAATTTTTTTCAATATTGTTAGTTAAACTTGAACTTATGGGTAAGATGATATTCAATTCAGGTTTTTATATTAAGAAATAATAAGTAATAATCAATTTTTAGTAGATAATGATCTACTGTTATAGTATAATAGGTACTCGGTAAACATGAGGCATACGATCTGTATTTGCACAGATTGATGTAAAATGGATGGAATTTATAATCGTAATAAACGTTGTCATTAATTAACCTCGATATATATATATAGAACATTTTATATCACGTATATGCTTGTATCTATTTTATTCCTATAAAGTAGGTACACAGCAGAATATTAAGGCTACGAGACGGTGTCGTCTTATAATAAGTTTAAACATATTATAGCAATGTCGTATTGACTACGAACAACGGACATAAGTAATATATAAGGAATTTGTATACAATATATATAAAAGAATTACTTCTTAAGTGTAAGAACTAAGAACTTTCTGTACATACATGGATTGTATTTACTACCTAAATATCATTGAAATATATATATTAGGTACTATAGCTGAAAATAATAATATGCTCACTAGTTTTATTATAATAGTTGTTTGAAGCTGAACTGAGAATATTTAGAGTCCAATATAGTAAGTAGTAAGTACATACTAATATAGACTATATACTATACGAATCTTTGACACACCTCCCGTCCCCTTAACTCCCCCACCCCCCCCAAATATCCCTGTGGTGATATTCAAAATTCCATATTGTATATTTGCAGATATTGTTGAAGCCCAAATGCTGAGGTTGAATACTGTTTCGGAGCACTGATCGGTTCGGGTATCCCAGGGTCTTGCACAATTATGACAACTACATGACGGTCAGAGAGGATCATGTTTGTGGTGGCCGTGGCCACACTGGTCGCCGCCAACACCAACGAGCGGGTCATAATAATGATCGCCGAGAAGGCCGCGGGGACAGATGGAGTGAGGACGGAGGAGACAACGCGACGTGACTATAACAATAAGATCTCAACGCACCCAAATACTATTGTTACAAATTGTATGAATATTATTCAAACGACACACTGTACTTCATAACTGGTAAATGTCTTATTCTAGTAATGAAAATAGTCATAGTTGAATTTTAGATTCTGAGCGGGGTGATGAAATGGAATATATTGATTTTACAATGCGATGTGTGTTACGGTGCACAATATAATTAGTTAATAAACATAACACATAATTTATTTTTCGAGTATTTTTTATAAGCTTTTGAAGTTTGAATGTTGACAATATTTACTCGAAATCTCTAAAATTTGTTACAATTTCTACAATTTTTTTATGAACACTTAAACGAAGAATACTAATTATTCGTATAGAATTGAAAAATGTATGTTCATTATTATAATTTATACAAACAGTATTTTAAAGTGCAATGTTTTAGCAAAAATAAATTCAACATATACCATATTACTAATAGTAAAATAAATTACTTTAATAGCAACATAAATATATCATAAAACATCTAAGTAATATAAGCGTACGTATCGTATTTGCAAAGAATCGTTTTCCGTATGCAATGATTTATTGGTGATCTTTTTAACGTCCAAGACAATAATTATTTAAAAAATCCATTAACGTCTTGGGAAATATTTTTTACATAATTTTAAATTGTTAAAAAACACATTCTTTTTATTTTTTATTCGTTATTATTTTTGGACTCGTATTATTTTGTTACTGTTTTTATTCATTTTTTTAATTGGACATGCGCTGCATGCCATTCTCGTAATGAGTATTCTTCTGGACATTGGACAATATAGTCAATTTGGACAATAACAACTATCGAGTTCTCGGTTTATCGCAATCGATTGATGGCAGGCATACAAATCATCATACGAATTTAAAATACTGTTCTGCGCTATTGAACATAGTTCATATTGTAATTATGAATGGGTATACAATATAGAGTATACTTAATTATTTATGTACACTAATAGGTACTATACTAGTTATTACTCCACATGTATGCGCGTTATTTATTTAAAAATAAATAACAAGTTTAGCACTAATATTGACCGTATTATATCTGTTTCGTTATGTTTTAGGCCGACTTTCTGTAGGAATCAAACGGTTTCCGGCCTAAAATATTAATAAAGATTTTCTGATTATCTGAGTAATAATAAATTTAGCTACGGAACAACGAAAATGTAGACGTCTACTGCGCTTATACCTATGACAATGTTTTGGATTGTCAACATTTTTTCGGATGTGGTTATCATTGCACTGATGATGACCGTAACCATAATTTAATAAATAAAGCGAGAGCTTTCGCCAACTGTTGCCCATTTTGGATTAAGCTATAGGAAACGTGAAATTCCATAATTAAGAGTAGTATATTTTACTTATAGGTATTAATATGTACCACAGTCTAATTGGATGAACAGATACTATCAGGCTATGTAATGTTATTATAGTAAAACTAAAGAACATTAGTATATTATTTTACATCGAAACCAACGCGTCTGCAGGTAGTATTGGTTATGCTATTTTTTCATTTTCAGCCATCAACAGCAACTCAATAATTTATTTGTTTTTTTTTTTAAATTATATTATTTTAACACAGATTCAAGCTTGTAACAAGTATCGACTATCGTTATATTTGAACTTCTGTGAATATCTATGATTTACCGAATTACATTTAGATCAAATAATGTTATTATGTTATAAGTAAGATCAAAAATTGTCAATGTAATGAAATATTTTATTACAAAAATGTAGGATACAATAAGTATATATAAATTATGTTAAAGTATTTTTGTACCTTGGTAGTAATTGACAACACTCCAGTAGTCCTGTAATACCTATTCTTGTCACATAGTAAGTATTTTCAAATTTTAATTAAGTATTTAAAAAAATAACCTTGATTAAGTATTTAAAAAATAAACATTAATTAATAACATTTTGTTTATTATTTGAGGTTTAAAAATCCTAAAATTGATCTAGGTAGTGATATTATTTGTGTAAGTTATGAAGTTATGATAATGTATAAATAATTTTGTTGTCATTATGTTGTATAATATTATTTTTTAATGTTGTATGTCTTAAGTTATAACTTACATAAATGGTGTAACAATAAAATCAACTCAATATTTATAGGCACATAAAACTAAGCATGATACCCATAACAATATTGTCTTAAAATGAAAATAGTTACCTACTATACCTAATGAATTATAATTAAATATTATAATATAATATAACACACACGTGTTCCATAACCCTACATTCCAAAAAACCCTACAGTTCCAAAAACCCTACAGTACCACAACTTACAACTAATGGTATCAGTTGTCGAAGCTTAAATAAAAAAAAATATATATAATATAAAAACATATAGTAAAATCAATTCATCCATCTCTCCGCTCAAAATCTAAAATTGTGGGTAGATTTATTTTTAGAAATCTTAAGCTATAAAAATGTTAAGGCAGAGATTATATATCCTAACAAAAATTATTCTGTACACTTCACGAACAAATTCAGTGCATGCTCGCTTAAGAGTCTTGATATAATAATGAAATGTTGTATACTTGTAAACCCATTAAATTAATTAGTCAGTTATAATATAAAATATATACTTTCTGGTTAGAAGAAACAATATTTAAGCTTTCCGCAATCATCTGTATTGTTTACTAAACACTAAATCAGTTTATTTTTTTTAGTCAATTGTAAACAACATTGTGACAATCCATTATTTTAAATAACGTATTTTATTGTGATTTCCAAGTTTTTAAAAATGAATTCTTGTCAAAGTTCTTCGACAAGTCGCAAAGAATCCATACGATTTAGCGATAGCGTACTCCAGAGAAACGCAAAAGTAATGAGAGACCTCAGAAATCGTTTGAATAACTGCCGGAATAGACGCCCAGACCCAAAATACAATAGAGCAATGTGCAGTACGTCTTCCAAAAAGTATGAGCACATCATTAGGTACACCGTGATGGGTGGGTCCATTGCCCCTCAAAAATGAGAAACTATGGTTTTCTTCCACAAAACGGTTGGTTAAAATTTCTCTCCAAGCATTTTTTTGGACTAAAATTATCTCCATTTTTCTCCGAGTATTAAATATATTTACCCAATTTATTAGCGGGCACCAGTGATTTAGTGTTGTGTCTTGTGTACCATATTATTAAAGGAGAGTTATAACAGTCGATAACATCATAATGTAGTAAATTTGACTATGCCTAATTAAGATACTTACAAACTGTATTTATTTAGTCCAAAGATAAACATTTTTTTTGACATGTAATAGTATGATCTCAAAATATATTTGTTATATTCTTAGTTCCTTATTGGAAGAAATCAGTTGCGCCATTTGAGTTTT